TTGTTTTTTTCTCCTAGTTTTGCGCACCCTCGAGTTGGCGCTCGCTTTAGGGTGATTTGCACGTAGATTTGCGCAAACTCGATGCGGTCCTGACAAAGCTGCACGCTGCGCAGACGTGCTTTCTCTGCCGTTACGTCGGGACCTCGGTGTCTGGTTTCTGCTCATGCTCACAGCGCTCACGGGGACAGGAGGAGTGGACCTGGCTGCAGCTGATACATTCTCATGATGTAATGCTGCCTGTTTGGTGACTACGGATGGCTGTTTGCGCGCGGCTCTGCGGAGTGGGGCAGTCCCGGAGGTGCCGCAGGCGTCAGCGGCAGAACCAGCAGGACCAGTGCAGCGATTCGGACATGGACGAGGAGGAAGAGGAGCGGATCGTGGCGCCGAGGCAGACCGACGTGTGCGGAGGCCCGGAGAGCTCCAGCGCCGTCACTGCAGGGCCCAATGACGCGGATGGGGATTTTAGCAGCGGTCACGGCGGCAGAGCAGACCGACACGGGTCCCCCACACCCGCAAGCCCTGTCCGAACTACCGCCGGAGCTTCTGGTGGAGATTTTTTCCATGCTCCCCGGGATAGTATTACCAAATGTCGCTCTCGTTTGCAAGAAATTCAGACAGATCTTGAACACAGAGACCATTTGGAGAAGGCGGTGCGTGGAAGGTAAATATTGCAAGTGTTTTTTGGGCTGACACTGGGGCATACGTAACCCGGTCAAAGGCGCACACGCGCGGGTAACCAAAGACTGAGGCGATTTCCGGGGCTCTGTCTCCTTTAACGGAAATGTCTCTCCTTAAAAGCCCTTTATTGATTCTTACTGGAAAGAAAAGTGCATTATAAACTCAAGTCACCATTATGGATTCTTGACTAAAACAGACAAACACCTTATTCATATCTGTAGCTATGATTATACAGTTAAACCTGCCCTTACTTATTATTATCCCAGGCCCTGGGTAATATTTGATAACAACTCCCTCCCCCCATAGCCCCTCCTACCACGACTGTGAGAGACTGTCTTTTTGAACTAAGAACATATGACTAAGAAATGAAGTGTTTTTGGGGCAACAGTGGCGTAATACTGCTTTTATAACATAGCAGGGACTATGATAATGTAAGACTGGTTGTATAACAGTGCATTTGGCAATAAGAACAAATAGACTAAGCATTATGGGTTATGGCCACACTTAGACCGTCTTAAACTTTATTGATCCTCAAAGAAAATTACTTAGACAAGCATAGCAAATAAACTGTCAAAAGGGAACACATTTATTATTCTTCCAAATACAAAATATGTCTACGTTACTGTAGATATAAAACTACTGTTCTTCTCTTTTGTTTTACTACAGAATTTGGAATGAAGGAGGATCTGCGAAAAATGGAAGTGGGGGCAGCATCCAGCAGAGACCTTTATGTTAAACGTAAGTTGCACAGAAACACTTCTTCAACTTCTCTAAATTTCTCCTGGAAGCAGAAATGCTTTTGTCTGGGTTCACAGTTCTGTCAGACGTCAGCAGTGTTGGGAAGTTACTGAATACATATACTGAGAATACATACTCAGAATCCTACATTTGAGCAATTATGTTCTAGTATAGTTACTTTTTAATTTACTTCATCTTTCTAAAATCAGCGGAATGCATTGCCATTATTAATCACACGATTCAGGTTTCAGACTGCTTTGAATTAGAAAAATAGAAAACATCTCTCTTATAGAGTGTGTATTGTGTAATTATGTGTCTATTGTGTAATTAGTATAACAAAAGAAAAAAAAAGAAAAGAAACAAAAAGCTGTTTTCAATCCTATGTTGCGTCTCTACACTATAATTTATGTGCAACTCTGTGTAAAAGTATTCAGAATACAATACTCTGATTGGACCATGTTACAACACATGTTAATCCAGGTATTTATTATTCTGTAACTAAATACATTTTAAAGTATTCTTCCCATCACTGGATCAGTCTTTACAAATACTAATGATAACCCGAACTTCACACTCGATGCAAACCTTACATCATGTCTCAGGTCACACAGAGTCCACAGAGCCCACTGTCTGTGGGTCACACACATGGTCATGTTGTGCTTGTCCAGGTGTGATTCCGAGGGTGAAGTCTGGGCGCTTTATGAAGCTCCTCCCGGACTACGAGCACATGGACTATAAAGATGTGTACACACACTGTATGTACCACAGTGCCCTGGAGGGGGCAGCATGGGGGTGCTGTGTGTGAAAGGCCTGTTGAAAAGTCACTCTAATGCAACTTCCTTTATTTTCATTGGATGAACATGTTTTGAATGTGTGACAAGTATGGAGATTGTATGTTGTGCTTTCTTAAAGGTGCACTGAGTTACTTTTCTTGTAGGGAGTCTGTCAAATGCTTTACTCCATGGAGACGTTATTGCTTTTGTCTTGGCTTTGTTTCACAGTATGGTAATGAAACTTTCTATTTCATTGGACCAAACCAGACCAAGTTACATGTCAGATCTGTGGAGAGGCGACCCCGCTCACAAACAGAATGTCTGTTTTTCTAGATATTTTTGAGCTATAAAACCACCTGTAATTTAATAAATGTAAGGTAGAGCTGCTTAATGTCATACTGTGGAACATTACAGGTAGCGCAATGACATCTCCATAGAAACAAGAAGGTGGCAGACCCCAAATCAAAACGTAGTGCACCTTTGAATTTTAAAATGTTCAAATAAAGGCACATAATAAAACATACAGTGACAGTGACATTCTTGATAATAATACATGACTGAGTATGCTGTGTAAATCTGACAGGTTCACAGAATGGATACTAAACAAAAACTGCATATACTGTATAAATGGACATAGCTAAGCAACCAGCCGTCACATTTCAAATAGGAAATGAGCATGGACGCGTTTCTGGCTCCATCGACTCTGGCTCTAGTTGACTTTACATAGAAAAATAGTCACCCCTCTCTCTGTAAATGCTGCAGTGAGTCTCATCATTTTGGTTTTAAAATATTCGTACTAACCCACTCTACATGATCCTGATGGTTTTATTTCGCTTTTATTATTCACTTCTATAACCTCTCGCCTGGTGACACTGCACTCCCGTCCTCTCTTTGTTTATACAGTCTATGATACTAACATATTTCTTTTTGTGCACCTTTTTGTAACCTTTGTTATAGGTATGTCTTGTCTCCATTGAGATGATATTGCTTTGCCTGTAATGTTTCACAGTATGACTTTAAAATGATCCATCTTCATTTTACACTTTCGTTTTTATTTGCTAATGAAATACCTGGAAAACATTCATACTTTTACTCTTTGGCTTTTAACACTGCGTGAGTTGTGTGGTCCTCTGTGTCTTTTATTCATTTTTATTTATTTATTTTTATTGTGTTCATTTTTTAAACAAATTTTTAGCTTTATGCATTTTAACACTTTTTATTTATTATTTATTTATTCATGATTTACTTAAAATATAAATGTGTGGACTGGATTGGGTACTGTGAGTGGAATTGGGATGTTCAACTCTATAGAAATGAATAACTTTAATGCCAGACTGTGGAACATTCCAGGCAAAGCAAACCCACCTCCATGGAGACAAGTGGTTGGTGGTGTGCAGTTTATGCAGTATTTTAGTAGCAGAATTTATTTATTTCTCATTTCTTCTCATTTTGTTGCTCTTGTTTCAGTGCTTTATCCATACAGACACATTCTGGGCATATGGCAGCCTGACATTGGGCCTTATGGAGGACTCCTCAATGTTGTAGTAAGTGAAAATACAATATTATACGTCTGATATACTTGCTGTAACTTTCAATAAAGTTGCAACAGTATATTTTGGGTCTCAGTATTTTTCATGTGTACATTTTCTTTGCAATAATGTGGAGCTTTTTGCCATCTGGATGCAATAAGTTAAGATTTGAGCTGCAGAGGGTAGAATAAATGACTTCCATGCCTAATTATTATTGCTTCCTTTTGCTATTTATTTGTTTCAACACATGCGTTTTTAATGACGATACTTTAAAAATCAGTTTACTGGTAATATCTTGCTTTGTGTCAGTGGCATAAAGTAGTTTTGATATTACTGTTTATCGCAATATTTCTCTGTAGCGATATATATCGAGCTTCAAAATGTGGAAGGCCTGTCTGTAACCTGTATTACCAATAGATCTATCATGATAATTAATATATAAATTTATCGTTCAGTATATGAAAGCTGGAATGATATTTTTTGGGGTCAGTATTTATCGTGTGTACATTTTCTTTGCACTAATGGGAAATTTGTGTTTATTTTTTTGCTATATGATAAGATTTGAGCTCTAGAGCAGTGTTTCCCAAACTTTTTTCTGGTGACTCATATTTTAAAAGTCACAAACCTTCACGACCCAAGTCAATCACAAAATAAAGGTAGATTTGACCATTATTGAACATTAATGAAGATATTTTATTGTTGACTGAGTGTCATGTCTCTGTGAACAGTTAGTTCAAGCTTTAAACAATGAAAAACATGAACTAAACCAGTCGCCTATTTTGACATTAAATGTAGCCCATTTCTTTTTCTTTTCAACATTGAATTGAGCCAGCAATATTGGAACAAAATAGTCAATAAAATACAAAAAGAATTACAAAAAGATTAGAAATTATCCAAAACATGTCTTAACATTTCAGCATGTGTCAGAACTGTTTATTTCAGACCTAAAAATCTCTCGCAACCCACCTGAAGGTCACAGCCCAGTCTTTGGGAAACAATGCTCTAGACCACATGTGGCAAGGCCAAGGCCCGCGGGCCGCATCCGGCCCTCTAAGCCGTTTTATGTGGCCCACAAGGGGTTAAAAGGTATAATTTATTATTATGTTGCGATTCTGTGCTGCTACTACATTTCCCACAATGCGCCGCGAAGTGACCGCGTCCCGCAAATTTTAATAGATCCATGATCCCGCCACTAGAGTTTCCCCTCTTGCGAGCGAGTCCCCAACGCGCTCTGGCGGAGAAAACTCAACAAATCTCCCCGAAATGTTCAAGAAAAGAAAAATTGATGAAGAAGGACGGCTATTTCATGAAAGATGGGAAAATGAATACATGTTTGTACTTCAAGGAGATAAACCGGTATGTCTTTTATGTAACGAGACAATGTCCGTAATGAAGGAGTACAATTTACGTCGGCATTTTGACACAAAACATGGAACTAAGTATGCTAATTTTAGTCTCCAACAAAAACAACGAGCTGTCCAAGAATTAAAAGAAAAACTAAAATCGCAGCAGGATATGTTTTCAAGAGCTACAGCCAAGAACGATGCAGCGGTGAGAGCTTCATAGTGGCGGAGGAAATCGCTCGCGCTTCCAAGTGCTTCTCTGAGGGTGCGTTTATAAAGCAGTGCATGCTGAAGGTGTGTGAGCAGGTATGCCGGGACCAGATACAGACTTTTAAAAATGTCAGTTTGTCAAGAAACACCATTGCTGATTGAGTGAAAGAGCTAGCAGGGAATCTTACATCACAGATTACAAACGACGCACGTAGTTTTCTGTCTTATTCATTAGCCATTGATGAAAGCACAGACAACACAGATACAGCACAGCTGTCCATTTTTGTGCGTAAAGGCAGATCTGTCTGTCACCGAGGAGCTGCTGGATATAGTTCCCATGCATGGGACAACAACAGGGAAGGAGATTTTTGAGGTGGTGGAGAAGTCCGTAACTAGCTGTAAATTACCGTGGGAAAGATTAGTGGGGCTGACTACTGATGGCGCTCCTGCAATGTGTGGCGAAAGACGAGGCTTGATTGGACTGGTAAAAGAGAAACTGCTACAAGAAAACTGTCCTGCACGTCCGATAACCTATCATTGCATTATCCATCAAGAGACTCTGTGTGGAAAGGTTCTGGAAATGGATGATGTTATGGCCACTGTAATGAAAACAGACAACTTTATTCGTGCGCGTGGCCTAAATCACCGCCAGTTTCAGCACTTTTTACAAGAGATTGGCGCTAAGCATGGAAGATGTCCCGTATCACACAGAAGTAAGGTGGCTCAGTCGAAGCGCTGTCCTCCAGCGATTTTTTGAGCTCAGGGAGCAAATTGCGCTTTTCATGCAAAGCAAAGGAAGAGTCTTGCACGAACTATCAGATCCAAAGTGGCTGTGCGATTTTGCCATGTTGTGTGATCTAACAGAGCATCTCGCCCAACTGAATAAGAGACTGCAGGGACGCAAACAAGTCATCACGCAGATGTCCGACTCAATCTCAGCGTTCCAGCGGAAACTTCACCTCTGGAAGTCCCAACTAGAACAGGACAATCTTGCCCACTTTCCTGTATGCCAGAGGATTTCAGCCTTAAATTCAGTTTTTTCATGTGCTCGGTTGGCAACCAAAATAACCCGGTTAATTAATTAATTTGACCAACGCTTTTCTGACTTCAGAGCGCAGCAGCCAGAATTTGTTTTCTTTGCCAATCCCTTTACTGCTGATGTTGACAACGCACCTCATAATCTTCAGATGGAGTTAATCTCGCTTCAGAGCGACAGTGGCCTGAGATCAAAATTCCAGGACGTTGCACTCGAGGACTTTTACCGTCTGCTTCCCAATGACGTGATGCCACAGCTTCGACTTCATGCTGCCCGTATTATGTCTATGTTTGGGAGTACCTATCTGTGTGAACATGTTGTGATGATGTTTTCTATCATGAATCTAAACAAGACCAAGCATAGATCACGCCTCACCGATGACAACCTCCATGCTGTTTTGAGGATTTCTACAGCACAAGACCTAAAACCAGATCTGGACATGCTGACCAGAGGGAAACGATGTCAAACCTCCAGCCAGAAAACAAACAGATGAGCATTTTGTGTTTTTAATGTTTTAAAATTAATATCTCTAGTTTAATGTTTGATTGTGTTTTGTGTTTTTATTTTCAGTTCATGATTACTGGACTGGACTTCAGAGGAGAGCAGCAATGATAATGTGACCAATATAGTGAGACTGACAACCTTTCTAAAAATAACTTTTATTACAGTTTTTGAAGACTTCATGTTAGATCTGTTATGCAAGTTCTCAGTAGATCACCCTGAAAGAGAAAGGTTCTGAGGGAAGTAAATTAAATAAATTTGATAAGATTTGTTAATTTATTATTTGTGATCTGTTAGGTTTACTTACATTTTGCTCTGTTACTGAAGGAGTAATGTGAATATCTTAACTTTGTCAGTAGATCAATACAAACAAATTCAATATTATATAATATTTGAAACTTAAATAAATATTATGAAAAATCAATTACAGTCTCTCATTTGTAACATACCAATATTGCATATACAGAGTAGCTGTTACAGTCTTAACTTTACAACCGGCCCTTTATTGACAACCATGATCCAAATGTCGCCCTTGGTGAAAATGAGTTTTACACCCCTGCTCTAGACGGTTCTTCTATGACTCATTACAGATGCAAACTAACTACTAAAGTGTTTAATTCTACTGTTTATTTATTGCAGCTCATGTTTTTTTTGTTTGTTTTTTTTTACAATATTGTAGATTTACAGTAGAATAGGTTCAAATGTGCTCTTGAGTTTTTGTGTCAGTGGCATAAATTTGTTTCAGTGTTATCGTTTATCACAATATTTCTCTGTATATACCGTGCTTCAAAATACAGTATGTTATCATGACAGATCTATAGCTGTAAATCTGGATTACAAAGGTTCACGTGTTTCTTATTTCTCCAGGTGGACGGGCTGTTTATCATTGGCTGGATGTATTTACCACCTCATGATCCAAGAGTAGAAGATCCAATGAGAAGAAGGCCTCTTTTCCGGATTCACCTTTGGGAAAGTAAAAAGGCAACAGTGGAGTGTATGTACGGGCACAAAGGTCCACATAAAGGAGACATTCAGGTAATATCACAGATTCTCAAATGAGGTAAAAGGTGCATTGTGTAACTTTTCTGGAGGAGGTAAAAGGTGCATTGTGTAACTTTTCTGGAGGAGGGTCTTTGTGGAGTTGTCAGAATGCCTGTTTTTCTAGGTATAGTTGAGCTATAAAACCATCTGTAATTGAATAAATGTAAGGCAGAGCTGTTTAATGTCACACTGTGGAACATTCTAGGCAGAGCAAGTGACGGACCCCCAGCCAAAAAGTTACATAATGCAGCTTTAATGAATTACAGAAGTAGGTCATGCTCAAATATATGTCTCTATTATTAGACTGTGAAAAAGGACGAGTTCTCTACAAAATGTAATCAGACAGATCACCACCGCATGCCTGGAGGCCGGCAAGAGGTAGGTCAGGAAATTATTGGAATTATTTGGCGTTTTCATATTAACAGCCTCCTTTCACAATAGAGTCTTTGTGTTGACTTGTTCGTAGGAGTTCAGGACGTGGCTGGAGGAAGAATGGGGCCGAACACTGGAAGAAATCTTTCATGAGCACATGCAGGAGCTCATCCTAATGAAATTTATTTATACTAGTCAATATGAGTATGTTTTCAACTTTCAATAATTACAGTACAGTAGATTCTTGATTTTCAATTTCTGGGTAATGTTATTCTCTTTTGTTCATTAGTAATTGTCTTACATATCGGCGGATATATCTACCACCTCCGCTGCCTTCAGCCCTGCTCCAGCCCGGCCTCTTCAAGGGCACTTACGGCAGTCATGGCCTGGAGATTGTTATGCTGAGTTTCCATGGGACGTCAGCAAGAGCCACTAAGCTCACGGTAAAAAACTCTTCATCGCTGCTCACTGTTCTGTCTTTTTAAAGCTGCACAAACCTACGTCATGCATTAGACCAAGTGAACTGTGTCAGTAGAAAAGAGGCTATAAAGATAATTTTGTCTTTGTCTTGTCCCACAGGGAGACCCCAACGTTCCGGCTGGACAGCTCACTTTAGATGTGGACCTCGGTCGGCCTGTGGTGCTTCCGGACCTGGAGCGTCAGAGGAACATTGAGGAGCTGTCCCGCCTGGTGCTGGGGGTGCATGCCGAGGTGCAGAGAGACATGGAAGGAGCCTCTACTGCAGCTGCAAACAGCACAGAAGAGGGCGCATGTGGTGGTGAGGAGGGAGGTCCAGACCAAAGCGCTGCCTCAGAAAACTGCCAGCCAGAGACCAGCGGCAGCACAAACCCACCTGAACTCCAGCCGTTTGTTCTGCCTTTGGGGGTGATGGCACGCAATGAAGTGTACCCCCGCACCTGCAGGAAGTGGTGAGTAAGATTTGACCCAAGATAACTAGCAGTGGAGTTCAACTGGCCCACCTCTTGTGTTGTATAAGTAAAATTCCCATAAATTTTTCCAATAGAAATACATTAAAGAAGACCTATTGTGCTTGTGTCCTATTGTGTGTCACATAGGCATCAATACAGCTCTTTCAGTTCTGATACTAATTCCGATCCTATGGATTTAAGTATCTGCTGAGACCTGAAAACAATTGACACCAGTGCAGAGACTGAAAACAACATTTATTTCCTTTAACTAAAATAAAGTAAGACAAAACTGATCCAAGAGTGTAACTGTTATTTATCCCACAAGTAACTGCTGAGCAACACTGTAATGAATAAAAATGCAAACATTATGAGACTTTCTGGGCCAACAAAGACCGGTAAATAGTCTTATTACAACAATTTATATAAAATGTAGCGTAGAGTACAACCTTGTTTTTACAGTTTTAAATAAATTTATAAAATCAAGCCATTTCTATCTCTGTGTGATTTAGAAAATGTCATTTACGCTTTTATTTACTCCAGATTAGATTACTGCAATGCTCTTTAACCGGTCCTGACAAAACTCGCCTTCAACTTGCGCAAAATCCAGCAGCTAGACTATTAACAGGTACAAACAGATATGACCATATCCTCCCAGTTCTCTCTGCCCTCCACTGGCTACTTATCAAGTATTGATTTTAAAATCCTGCTTTTAACATTTAAAGCTTTAAATGACTTGGCACCAGTGTACTTCAGGGATCTCCTTACACCATATGCTCCAGCTCGTACACTTCACTCTAATGAGGATTCCCTTCTTGTGGTGCCAAGGACCAGTCTTACCACCAGAAGGGACAGGGTCTTTTCAGTTCATGCCCTTGATCGCTGGAAGTCACTGCCCCTTGAGCTCTGAAAATGTAAATATCTTACCACCTTTAAAACCAACTTTAAAACATTTTTATTCCAGTAAACATTTGAGTCATCATATTCTTTTCTCTATGGAGATGTTATTGCTTTATCTGGAATGTTACATAGTATAGTTTTTTCACTATAATATAATGCAACTCAGTGTAAAAGTATTCAGAAGACAGTTTGTTTGGCCCATGGAGTACATTACAAAATACATTCTAATGCAGGTATTCAGTATTCTGTAACTAAATACATGATCAGAGTTTTCTTTCCAACTCTATTTACTGATGAGTCTTTCTTTCTTTCAGTTTCTATGGCACTGGCCTGTCCACTGGGCATGGGTTCAGGAGAATTTTAATCAACCATTATTTTTGTTTTTATTGTATCAAAATAGTTTTAATTTGTGCATTTTAAGATACATATAACTCACCATTTCTCTACTAGCTCACTATTGTTCCTCACAGCAATACAGTGCAAAACATGTATTGTGTAATTTGATATAGGAAGTAAGCAAAAAAAAACACAAAAAAAAACAGAAATGAACCTAAAAAGGAGATAATATGCAAAAAGGACTTTTAAGAGCTTTTAACCATATTATAATTGTTGTATTATTGTTTTCTCTTCTCATTTACCCACTTGAAAAGGTATTTAGAGCGATTCTCTTGCACTTACTGATGAGTCTTTCTTTCTTTCAGTTTCTATGGCACTGGCCTGATCGCTGGGCATGGGTTCACGAGTCCGGAGCGTACCCCAGGGCTCTTTGTGTTATTTGACCAGGACCGGTTTGGGTTCATCTGGCTGGAGCTGAAGTCCTTTAGTCTGTACAGCCGCCTCACGGACCACCTGCCCCACGCACAGGCCCCTAACATGGAGCGCTTTGAGGCCATGCTGCGAAATATGCAGTCCTGGACATCCTGATGCATCCAGCTTTAAGTCTACAGTCACGTGCAGATGGACCACGCACCCACCACTTGGTTCCATAAGTAAATTTCACATAAATTTTCCCATAGACGATCAGAAAAAAAACAATTCTGAAAGTCTGCTTAAAGATGCACTGTGTAACGTTACTGGTGGAGGGTCCGTCAAATACTTTTCTCCATGGAGATTTTTATTGCTTTGATTGGAATGTTTCACAGTATGGTACTAAACATTTCTATCTGCATGGAGACCAAACCAGACCAAGTTATAAGTCAGATCTGTGGAGAGGCAAGCCCACTCACAGTCAGAAAGCCTGTTTTTCTAGGTATGTTTGAGCAATAAAACCACCTGTAATTGAATAAATGTAAGGTAGATCTAATGTTATACTGTGGAACGTTCTAAGCAGAACAATGAAATATCCATAGAAACAAGACAGTGACGAACATCCAACCGAAAATACAGACCTTTAAAGATGCACTGTGTAACTTTCCGGGTAGAGGGTTCGCTACCATGGAGATGTTGTTGCTTTGCTGGACATTTTTCACACTTCTCACTTATCTATTTCCATGGAAACAAGCACCATGCCAATTGACAGGTCCAGTTTGTGGAGAGGAGATCCCACTTACAGTAGAATGCATATTTTTCAAGTCTTTGTTTTCTGTAAAAAAATATATACAAAAATATATAATTAAGTAATAAGCAAGTTTGTTAGACTCTTACTAGAAAGGTTAAATAGTGCACCTTTAAGGCTAAGTAGCTATAACCACTGCATGGCATCACAAGGTGGAACAGAGCATTTGGAGCTTTGGAGATGTAGACAGACTAATAATAAAATTACTAATTACTCAAACGTGTGAGCATGACTTGACTAAAAGCTCATAAGAGTCAATTTTGTGTAATATAGGGCCTTTTATGTTTGAATTTTTTGAAAGTCTATGGGAAAAATTGAAATTTTTCTTCCAGAACAGCATGGGACTCTGAAGTGAGCGGGACTTGAGCTCCATTCGCCCTATGAACGCACGTGTCACTTCCTCTGTCCTTCGCCTGACAATGTTATGACCACATTTACTGTTAACCTTAACTCCACTGGTTTTATCTTTGTTTCCATCATTAAACCCCAGACACAGGTTTACTGTCCAGTTAAAGGTGCATTACGTAACTTTTTGCTGGAGAATCCGTCAGATGCTTTTCCCTGGAGATGTTATTGCTTTGTCTGAAAAGTATCACAGTGTAGTATTGAACTTTTGCGTCCAAACCAAGTTACAAGTCAAGTCTGTGGAGAGGCAAACCTTCTCACAGTCAGTTTTTCTAGCTATTTCTGAACTATAAAACCACCTGTAATTGAATAAAAGTAAAGTAAAGCTGTTTAATATTACAGTGTGGAGCATTCTAGGCAGAGCAATGACATATCCATTGAAACAAGCAGGTGAAGGACCCACAAAAAGTTACACAGTGCACCTTTAAACAAGTTACACCACCTCACATTTTGCGCCAATTTTCCTTTAAATAGTACTTGGTCACTTTCTCTTATGACCTTACAAATAAATATTGCCAGGCAGCATGATCAGGTCACTATAAGTATCCTATTAAACTATAAGTATGTCTATTTATTCCCCACCCGAAGAAAGTGAATGAGCATTTTTAACTCTTCTTACCGATAGAAGTGTATGTGCCTCTGACTATTACAATCATGTCTGTACTTGATAGTGCTTGAAGGCCTCTAATGTATTCTACAATATAGTATTTCACTTGTTATTTCGCATGTTGCATATTACTCATGAGGGATTATATCATATCTGACCCAGTATCATTAATAAAGGTGCAATGCACAACTTTTCTGGTAGAGGGTCCATTACCTGCTTGTCTGGAGATGTTATTGCTTTCATATTAAACAGATTTATCTAGCATTTATTCATTACGGGTGTTTCTATCGCTCAAAAATACAACAATTTTCTCTGTGAGTAGGCTTGCCTCTCCGCAGATCTGACCTGTAATGTAGCTTAGTTGTTTCCCTTGAGATATATAACATTAATCTCTACTGTGGAACATTTTAGACAAAGCAATAAGTACTGTATATCTCCTTTAAGACATGAAGGTGGCGGACCCTCCATTAGAAAAGTTACGCAAAGCAGCTTTGATTACACATTTCGGTTAACAGACAGTATGTTTTTTTCGTAGCCGCAAGTCATTAAAACACAAAATATCTATGTAAATACAGTATAAAGTAGAAGTATACTTTTCTACTAATGTACAATTGCCTAGTAGTGATGTAAAGTGGACTTTATGATCACTTTTTCTTGGTTGCAGATTGCTTTCTTAGAATGATATGTTATTGATCTTTGGACCCTTCTGTAGTGAGATATACTTGACAATGACACTTCTACCACGCCCACCAGAGTACACGGGTCAGAAAATTACCGCAGTTTAGTATAGCCTCCTAGACATAAGCTGTATTTATTTAATGTATCAAAATATACAATTTATGTGCTTTTGACAAGGTGTCCTATCTTTAAAAAGTATTGCATTTGGTGTTTGTTTAAAATTGGCTGACATAATGTTTGTATGGCTGTGCATCTTTATTAACTTACCATTTCAGTTTTGCCAAAAAATATAACTGTGCAAGCTTAAAGGGCCTATATTACCTATTTTTGATCTATGTTATAATTTTGTCTCCCCATGAAAAACATACTCGGAGTTGTGTTTTTTTGTATTCACACGTTTAACACACAAACCCTGCGTCATTTGGGTGGTTTCAGCCCTGGAATTGTCAATCTCTACTGAACTAAAGGTAAAAGGTATCTTGAAATCACTGCATGACATCACAAGGTGGTGCTTTTTGAGCTTTGGAGATGTAGACAGACTAATAATAAAGCATTACTGAAACTTGTGTGAATTAAACAAAACACAACTCTGGTATGTTTTTTGAAACGGTAACAATGTTATAACATGGGTTAAAGATCACAAGAGCCAATTTTGTATAATATAGGACCTTAAACGTAATTTAACAACCAATAAGCTACTGAAGTGCAGCTCCGAATTTAAAGGAATACTACGTAAAATTTCTGATATGGGCTTGTTACTTGCCTGTCTCCATGTGTATATGCTATTGCTTTGCCAGGAATGTTCAGCAGTATGGGCTTTAACTTGTCCATTGATACTTTGACGTGACATCTCACTGGGGGTGTTATACATGAATTTCTGTGATGGATTGTTCTGCAGTTACCATGGTGATGCAATGCACACATGAGCAAAGACTGTCAAAGGCTTAAAGAGTATCTCAAATGTTGTAGTTCCAACAAACTCAGCTCTTTGTGATCAGATTGTGTTAAAACGAAGCTTAGATCAAAGTCTAATTTAAGTAACAGCTTCAGACAGAGTAATACCCCCAGATAGCATCACACCCCAAGAGAATGCTGATGTAAAATTGGGTTTTTTCTTTTGTTTAAAAAATCAAATAAAAATCACACAAAAGCACTACTGTTCTCTCACAAACTGTACTTGTTTTCGTGGAGACTGATTTTAGTTTAAAGTCATACTGACGAGCATTCCAGGAAATCTAAATCATCTACACGAAGGCAAGCAGCTGGTGGACCCTCTACCAGAAATGTTCCATAGCGTCCCTTTAAGTAAAAGTCTGTATGTCTCATTATGGCCTGATGGTAACGCCCAGTAGCTTTTTATCTTCTACAAGTGCACTTTTCTGGGCTGTATTCCATTCAGAACCACTGGCCTGCACTTTGAAAAATGAGAATAACTTTATTAACTTGTGCAAAACGTTTGTCAGCTCATTTTGTCAGCTATTTTATTAATTTATTGAAATTTTATTGTGTTTTTGGTGTATTTCTTGTGTGGACTCGTGCGGTCCTTATGTACACAGCTTTCAGAATGATTTGCCTTTGATTGTCTAGTTTACATGTTCTGCTTTTAATGCCACTAGCCTAGTCTAAATTTGGTCCATTGAACTGCTCACTTCAAACTTCAGGGAGTTTTGAGCTTAAGCGCTATTCTCGGTAAATAAATTAAAAACTTTACAAAAATCCAGTCTGTTTTGTTTTTATTATTGTTTATAGCTCATCTATACCAAAGTCCCAGTCCAGTTCTGTTCCAGTTGTGGCAGCATCTTGGTATTTGGGGGAGTTGTGTGATTCTTTAATTTTGATTTAATTTGGCGGGATTATAGCTATTGTAAACATAATTTATCGTTTTATATAAATCAAGAAACAAATTGCAAAAAATAAATAAATAAATATGATGAAAATTACAGAAACACAACGACATCACTCAAGGGAGAATTCTATCCTAAATTTCAGCCCAATTCACACACAATAACCTTTTTTCTGATACTGTTAACATGATTTCAACAAAATAAAGGTGTTTTCTTACATTTGTATTAGCCAGATAATAATTTCCATGTACATTAGAGTTTTGTTAGGTAACAGGTAAGGAATTCACTAGTGCAATGTCATGATTTCCAACTAAGAAGTCAAATTTTAAGCCTAAAAAATATCGAGTGTGAATGCTGTTTTAAAAATCTTACATGTAATGATTTCTACTGTGCTTTAGTAAAATGAGTAGTCTAAGATGAGATAAGCACTTTAACTGCTCATAATGTGACAAGTGCGCTCCCTCCAGGTCAGAAGAAGAAACAGCATACACGTAAACAAGTCAATGTGAAAAAGAAAATATTCACAGATTTGGCCGCTCTTAATGAAATTGAAATACCTTGAAAAGCAGTTGAGAGATTTGATAAAGCAGTCTACCGTTCTAAAGGAATTAAATACTAACTAGTAAAGAAAAACAAGACATACAAGATGAACAAAAATATTAAATTTATTATTATTTTTAGATAAGTCACAGTTTTGAGTGCTTGGTAGTCCACAAGGGTTAATTTGGTCTATGATTGTTCAGTTTGCTAAGTCTTAATGGTGCATTGTGGGAGGGTCCGTCAAACATTGTTTTCTCCATGGAGATGTTATTGCTTTGTCTGGAATGTTTCACAGTATGGGATTAAACCATTATATCATAATGGAAACCAAACCAGACCAAGTTACAGGTCAGATCTATGGAGAGGCACAGTCAGAATGCCTGTTTTTCTAAATATTTTTGAGCTATAAAACTATAAAATTTGCTAAATGTAAGGTAAAGCTGTTAAATATCATACTGTGGAACATTCCAGGCAGAGCAATGACATATCCATAGAAACAAGCAGGTGACGGACCCTCAGCAAAAAAGTCACATAGTGCAGCTTTAAGTTGAGTATCCAGTGTTTGATCATGACAGTGTTATAAAAGTCTCATTAAGGGATTTCAATGTTTTAATGATTATTTCTACAGATTGTGGCCAGTTGCTCTATAACTCTATGTGCTCTTTCTTCTCGAGCTCCTCCAACATTTTTGGAAGAGTCTGAGTAAAGAACACAAAGTGGTCCTTCCTCAGCCCCTGACGGACCACCTGCTCAGAGTCAATAAACAGGTAGTTCTCCTCTTTTCCATACTGTGGCCAATGCACCAGGCCTTTCCCATTTGGAGACCTACAAAACAAACAGAGTGACCAAGTCTGTACAAAAAATGCCCTTGTATTCGTAGATGTATTTTACATTTACCCAGTGTAAGCAAAGTTTGCCCAGTATCTCATGACACTTTGGGTGAAATCTTCCTCCTCTTTTGAGCATTCTTCTGCAGAAACAAAGAATTGTTTCAGACAAAAATATAGTACCAACAAGCAGACAATTTAAACATTTAAAGGTCTTATATTAAGCAAAAATTTACTCCAGTGAGCTTTAAGCCATGCAATAACATGAAAAACATAGCTGGAGTTGTTTGTTTCATTCATAAGTGTTTGAGTAATTCTGCATTATTAGTCTGTCTATATCTCAAAAGCTCAAAATGCTCTTCCACATTGTGATGTCAAGTTAACAGCTATCTTTACCCAATTCCAGAGATGAAATCATCCAAATTATTCTAGTGAATGTGAATGGTGTTTAAAAACACAGTGGAGCACTTCCTGTATTACCACAACATCACAAAATGGAACAGAGTGTTTTGTGTTTGAAAGAAGAACTCCATCCATCCATTTTCTTCCTCTTCTTTCAGGGGCGAGTCGTGGGGGCAGCAGTCTAAGCAGGGACTCCTAGACTTCCTTCACCCCAGACACCTCCTCCAGTTCCTCCGGGGGCACCCCGAAGCCTCCTTCCAGTGAGACATGCCCAGAACACCTCCGGAACAGATGCCTGAGCCACCTCAACTGGCTCCTCTCGACGTGTAAAGCAGCGGCTCTACTCCGAGCTCCTCATGTGTGACTGAGCACCTCACTCCATCTCTAAGGGAGCGCCCAGCCACCCTGCGGAGGAAACTCATTTCGACCACTTGAATCTGCGATCTTGTCCTTTCGGTCATTACCCAGAGCTCATGACCATAGGTGAGGGTAGGAACAAAGATTGAGTGGTAAATCGAGAACTTTGCCTTTCGGCTCAGCTCTCTCTTCACCACAACGGTCCGATACAGCAGCAGCATCACTGCTGACGCCACACCGATCCACCTGTCAATCTCACGCTCCATCCTCCTCTCACTCGTGAACAAGACCCTGAGATACTTGAACTCCTCCACTTGGAGCAGGGACCCCCCCACCCACCCGGAGAGGGCAAGCCACCTTTTTCCGGTCAAGAACCATGGCCTCAGACTTAGAAGAGCTGATCCTCATCCCAGCCGCTTCACACTCAGCTGCAAACCGCCCCAGTGCACATTGCAGGTCCAGGTTTGATGAAGCCATCAGGACAACATCATCTGCGAACAACAGAGATGAGATCCCATGGTCCCCAAACTGGACCCCCTCCGACCCCTGACTGCGCCTAGAAATTCTATCCATAAACACAATGAACAAAACCGATGACAAAGGGCAGCCCTGGTGGAGTCCAACATGCACCAGGAACAGGTCTGACTTACTGCCGGCAATGCAAACACAGCTCCTGCTCCGGTCATACAGGAACCAGACAGCCCTTAGCAAAGTGCCCCGGACCCCATACTCCCAGAGCCCCTCCACCCCTACAGGACACCACAAGGGACACGGTCAAATGCCTTCTCCAAGTCCACAAAGCACATGTGGACTCGTTGGGCAAACTCAGATGAACCCTCGAGCACCCTCGGTGAGAGAGCTGTTGACCTCGACTAGGGACGTTGTCTGGCGGTGGAAGTAATACTTTGAGGATCTCCTCAATCCCACCGTCATGTCTTCCGAGGAGGAAGCCGAGGCTGGGGACTCGGAGGCGGACTCGTCCATCACCCTGGCTGAAGTCATTGAGGTGGTTGGCAAGTTCCTTGGTGGCAAGGCTCTGGGGGTGGATGAGATCCGTCCTGAGTACCTTAAGTCTCTGGATGTTGTGGGGCTGTCTTGGCTGACACGCCTCTTCAACATCACGTGGTGGTTGGGGACAGTACCTCTGGACTGGCAAACCGGGGTGGTGGTCCCTCTGTATAAGAAGGGGGACCGGAGGGTGTGTTCCAACTACAGGGGAATCACACTCCTCAGCCTTCCCGGTAAGGTCTATGCCAGGGTACTGGAGAGGAGAATCCGGCCGAGAGTCGAACCTCGGATCTAGGAGGAGCAGTGTGGTTTTCGTCCTGGCCGTGGAACACTGGACCAGCTCTACACTCTCCATCGGGTGCTCGAGGGTTCGTAAGAACTCTCAAACATAAAAAAAATATGCAGCCTAAATATGCAGTATGTGAATGAAACAAAACACAACTCCAGGTCTGTTTTTGATGAGGAAACAACTTTATAACACAGATCAAAAAATAGTGTAATATGGGCCTTTTAATAAAACTGTCGCTCATACCTTTTAGTGTGATATGAGTTGTAAAGCAGAGTCCAAATACAGAAAAAATGTCATCTGCGTGATCTGTTCCGACAAAGTCTGGCCTCAATTTCTTCAGCATCCGAGGGGTAAAGTTGTATTCATAAGCGTACACAGGAGCTCCTGCATCTGGATATAAAAGAACAATAACGTTTCTTATTCTAAAGCTAATCATTATATAAAACAAAACACACTTTCCACGAGAGCTGTAAACCTTTGTTGTTTAATCTATTAATTCAGCAACCCCAGCCCCCGGACCACAGACTGGTACTGGTACGTTTCTCCAGTGTGAGCGCAATCAAACCGTGCCCAAGTGTGGAACATTTGGGACTTTGGCTCAGCTGGAGGAGGTGGGAAAAAGCACGGCACGTTTGCTCATGTACGCGCACACGCACAACTTTACTATACGAGCCCTGTGTGTGCGTACAATAAAAACAGTGAATAAAGTCTTCTGGAATCTGAATGTCAGATCTGTGGAGAGGCCAGCTCACTCACAGTAAGAATGCAAGCTTTTAGTTCTGTAATAATGTGTTATTATGTAAATGCAAGATGAATATGTTCATAATGCCACTCCAGGACATTCCATACAAAATAATAACATCTCCATGGAGACAAACAGGTGGAGAACCCTCCACCGGAAAAGTTACACAATGCACCTTTGAATATGAGTTCAACAAAATAAAGGTGTTTTCTGATGTTTATTTGTTAGATAATAATTTCTATATACATTAGAGGAGTTTTGGCATGACTTGATGATTTCCAAACAGGATGTCAAATTTGAAACCTAAAAAAATGACCAAACTGGAGAATAAAAATCATAGATATAATGCTCTTAACTGTGTTTTAGTAAAATTTCTACCTAACCTGTCTAACCTGTCATATTTGCACAGTTCTTGTTGTTGCACTGTCCATTGTTTTTTGCATTACTGATAAAGCAACAACACAAAATATCAACATAGTTTTATGCAAATGTCAAACCTGTATGGGCGTTTATGGTTTTCACTGCAGGAACGTTGAAAACAAAATCCCCAAGAATGTCAGTAAAGGCCTTCCGGAGTATTTTGGGGTCCTCACTTTTTCCAGTGAATTCGTCTATGATCAAATTCAGTGCTTCATCTTTACGCTTTCAATAAAAACATATATTGTTAGAGCAATGTCAAATTGGAAATCATGCATAATATTTGGACCCAGG